GAATACTCTGAAAACATCTACTAATTCCATTTGTTCACAGGTTTCGTTCTGTTCTGTTGTTTCTTTGGTGATTTTTTGTCTAGTTGGTCTGTCTCTGTGACAATGGGGTATTAAGGTCTCCTGTTAGAATTATGTTATTGCTTATTCAATTTTTCATGTCTATTAATAATTGCCTTATATAGTTGAGTGCTCCTGTATTTGGTGCATGAATATTTATGATTGTTAGTTCCTTCTCTTGAAGTTTTCCCTTAATAAGCATATAGTGACCTTCTTTGTCTCTTTTGATCATTCTAAATAGAACAGATATGTCTGCTTTTTTCTGGGTTCCTGTTGCGTAGAAGATTATTTTCCATACTTTGATTTTCAGTCTGTGAACTTTTTGAGTTACATGTGTTGCTTGTATGCAGCATATTTGTAGATCTTTTCTTGGTTCATTCTGCCAGTCTTTCTTTTCATTGGTGAATTGAGGCTATTTGCATTGATGGTTATAACTGATACGTATTGGCTTATCTTTGTCATGATATTTTCCTGCTGTTGGTTCCCTGCTTTTCCCCTCTGTTTGATTGATTGCCCTACCTGGTGGTTTCTTTCTCTTGTTGTTCTTGTAATTGTAGTCATTTTTACCCCTGTCTTGAATGTCTTTCAATATTCTTGGTAGGGTTGGTTTGGTGGTCATGAATTTCTTTAGTTGTTGTCATGGAAGTATCTCATTTTTCCATTAATTTTGAAAGAGTTTTGCAGGGTACATCAGTGTTATTTGGAAGTTGTCTTCTTTCAGGACTTGAAATACTTCACTCTAAGCTCTTTTTTTTTTTTCTCTCTTTTTTTACCCGCAAGCTCTTCTTGAGTTGAGGGTTCGTGTTGAGAAGTCTGCCATGATTCTGGTGGGCTTTCCTTTATAGGTGACTGTTCCTTTTCTCTAACAGCTTTTCATATTCTGTTCTTATGCTGAATTTCTGGAATCTTTATTATGTGTACTGGTGTAGTTTTATTCTGGTAATGGTTATTTGGAGTTCTGGATGCTTCATTTATTTATATGTCCAATTCTTTATCCATGCTTGGAAAGTTTTCTGCCATTATTTGTGTGAAGAGTTTTTTGTGACATTTATACTGTTTCTAGCTTTCTCATTGACCCCAGTCAGTCGTACTCTTTTTTGCATCATCTTGTAGCTGTTGGATTGATTGCTCATGGTCTCTTGCTATTTTTAAGGTATCTTTCTTTTCATGATCACTAGCTGTAATTCTGTCCTCAAAATGTGAAATTCTGTACTCTCCATTCAGTCTGTTGCGTATACTTTCAATGGAGGTATTAATCCCTTGGATTTCTGTTTGGGTCTGTTTCATGGATTCTATTTCTTTCCTGTGTTGGGCATTTTTTGTTTCTGTCATTTTTCTAAGCTCATTTATTCTTTTATCTGTGTCTTCTCTAATACCTTTTATTTTAAGCATCATTTCTTTTTGTACCTGAGAGATTATTTTCTCTGTAGTGTTTTCCACTTGTTTTTTTTTTTTTACTTATGTTGCTATCATTTCAGAAAGTCCCAGTATTTGACTTCCAATTTCATTTCATTGTGTTCTGGGCTGGTTTTGGGTGAGCTAGGGATCTAGGATTGCATTTTACATGTGCATCGTATCATTTTCTATTTCTTTTTTATTTTATTTTGTTTTCTATGTTGATGCTTGCCATTTTCTTTCGATAGCTTTATTAGTAGTATTGAGGCTTCCCTAGATAATGTTGTTCTTCAGGGATGTCCTGTAGATATAGGTGATTCTTTATAGGTATCCCAAGAACCTGCCTTCCCAATTTGTAAAGGATGCAAAGTTACTATTTGGCTCAGTACTCAATCCTGTGGTACTGGGTTGTAGTGGTGATTATAACCTCATTCAGTCACTGTTACCATACAGGGGAGAAAAAGTGATTATAACATGTATGACATCCTGGCTAAAGTTGTACAGTGAGTAATAACAGCGTAACTACTGACAAACTATGGTAACCATTAACCTGCTACTTCCTACAACAGGAGCAAACTCTAAAGTTATATAACAAAATCAAACATATACCATATACTTTTATGCAGTGATTTTTCCCCTTAGTGGAGTGATTTTACCCTTTTGTGGGGAGTTGTAGAGGGTTAAGATGGGTAGGGGACCTTATGATAAACTGATGAATGGGGTCAAATATAGTAGAGTCAAGGCTGGATGTCAAAGGATGATCACTGGAGTTTTGGGGAACTGGAGGACACAGGAGGGAAAGAATGGAATAGAATGTGAAGGAGTAATCAGAAAGGGAAGAAACAATGTTTACTCACTTCAGAGTTTAAATTCAAAAAGTAGTTGAGAGAACGAGGATCAATAGAAGAAAATTAAAGGATAGGTAAGAAACCTAAATAGTGAAAAAAATAAGAAAGAGGAGAATGGAAAAGAAAGGAAGAAAAGAAAGAAAAAAGTAGACTTGAGAAAGAAGAGAGAAAAGAACAAATCCCAAAACAAAAATAACCACAAAATACAAGACAAAACAAGACGACTTCTAACAAGACAGGAAAGGGATAGCCAATCAAACAAAGGAAAATAAACTAGTGTTTGCAGTTCTGTGATAGTGTCCATGTTAGATCCCAAAAGTGTGCTGTGTACTATAAGCACGTTTGCTGTGGGAATTGTGCTGGGTATGGAGTTGACCTTGGCCTCTATGTGGGGACTGGGACTGGTCTTCCGTTTGTGGAGTTCTCCAGAGCCCAACTGCTGGCTCCTTGCTGCTGCTTCGAACACTTCCATGTTGCTGGTCTCGCTGATTACTGTGTGCATCCTGACCGGCTGTCCTGGGTCTCATGAGTTCTGGTCAGTCCACTGGCCAAAGGCTGGTGTGCTCCTGCGCACCCAGGGCCCTGCCTGTCCTGGGTTTTGGGGTTCCCGTGGGTCTACCCGCCAAAGGCATTTTTGTGTCCACCCAAGTAAATTCTATTTATTTTATATTTCTTCAAAACTTCACGTTTGCCTTTTTTTTTTTTTTTTTTTTGGTGGTGGGAGGGTGGGACTTTAGATTTAATAGTTCATTTTCTTGTTCTTTGTGGTATGGTAAAGTTATAGTGCTTTTTTTCTCTGTTGTGGTAAGCTTTTGTCTAGGGTATTGCAAGTTTTTTTGGTGCTGCCACAAAGCTCTGCATTCTTTTTGGTTGTCAGTAGACCCCAGACGTCCACATGTGGTATGCTGCTACTCTATCTGCATGAGGAGTCAGGTGAGATAGAAACAGTCCCTTGGACAACTCCTTGAAAGCCAGGATGTTGGAAATATGTTCCACTGTTCTCTTTCCTTACTAGGAGAGAAGGCTTGTGATTTCTCTCATAATTCCATACTATGTTAGGGGGAGGGAGACTGATGTGGTTGAAATGAAATGGCTGTTTTTACCTGTTTCAGAACTGAAATTCTTGACTTTGAGCTTTTGTAGGGTACAGCCATTTTGTCATAAAGGCTTTTGAACTGAATATTTTTTAAAGGTCAGTGTTTCTTTGTGGGAAGGTTAAGGTCTTGGGCCTCCTAGTTTATTATCTTGCTGATCCAGGTGTCCAGAGTTTTTATTGAGGATTTACAGTATAGGCATGATTTATTGAATCACTGTCTTCTCATTTGACTCAATCTTTAGCACTCCCCCCAGTCCTGCTCCATAAGGTGGCTGTATCACTTGTCCACTCATCAGTCACATGGTAGGTCTTTCTGGCATGGCCGTTGCTCAGCTGAGTCATCTCCTTAAGTGTACACTGTCTAGTGCACATTATGAGTCTCCTTGCTAGCATAGATGCAAGTGGTTGGAGGGTTTAGAAGTTACTTCCCAGATGCTGGGGTTGAAGGCCAATGAAATCTAATCACATAATGTAAAATAAGTTTTCCTAAATATCCCTTAAAAAGTAGTAGATTTTTTTCCCTCTTTTATTTTTTAAGCATTTGAAGAATTCTCCAGTGATGAATACATTATTTCTTTAAACTGTACTTTGTGTGAGTATATAACTGAGACACAAAGCACTAAGAAAAGTGAAATTAGTCTTCAGATTTTTAAAGTGAAAGTCATGTTCTTTTCTGAGCAGAAGAATAGTATGTTAACTGTAAATTTAAAAAAACTAGCCTTTTTATATTTTATATACTGCCTTTTATTGTTGTTGCCAATGTTATACTTCACGTTAAAAAAAGATGAGGTCTAGGACTTTGTGTCATCTTTTCTTATGCAACACTACCTAGATCCAATCCATGGTTGATTAGTACTTTCCTATGTCATTTAATGGTTTTATCATTTCTCTGTCATTAATGGTTTTATCATTTCTCTGTTTTTGCTTGTTGAAATTATTTCCAGTTTATGAATACTGTGATAAATCTATTAATTTGCTTTAAGATTTTTCTTTACTGATGTTAGAGGACTTAAAAGTTAATGTACTGAAAAGTTATTTGTACTTACATCTTTTATAATTATAATACCATTTTATAATGTTCATGATAATAGGCAGGAGTGCTTTTCTTTTTTTTTAATTGACTCATAATTGGGTTAGAGCTCTGAAAACTTACATTTTCCTTAGATTTTTCTCTGTCAAAAATATCAACTATCTGTTCTCATAATTTTCTAAAGTTACTACTTTAAGTAATACAGTATAGTTCTTTACTGTTTTTTCAGTTCTTATGAAAAATACATATTTATGTTCATTTAAATGATTGTATTTACTTATTTGGTATAAATTTTTCTGTATATTTTTAATCCTTTTCCCTCATAAGTAGTCATTGTCTTTGTCTTGTTTTTTATTTCTTTGCTGCTGTTTAAAAGCTGAACATTTATAAGGGGGCACTGTGCTGGAAATTCTCAAGAAAATTCTTGAGAAAACTTCAAAATAAGAAGAAAACTTCAAAATAAGAAAAGAGAGTAGTGATGCTGAAGTCTGTAGTGTGCATAAATAGATTTTAAAACTTCATCCGTGAGCCTAAAATAAAATCCAGACTTTTTGGTTGTTTCCGTCTTTGCTAGGGTCCTGTATTAATAGGAAGTTCACAAGGTGGTGTTAATATCGAAGATGTTGCTGCTGAAACTCCTGATGCCATAGTTAAAGAACCTGTTGATATTGTAGAAGGCATCAAAAAGGAACAAGCTGTCCGGGTATGTTGTATTCTGAGAAATTTTTAGTTTGTAATTAGAGAATTGTAATATTTAAGGAAAGATAATTAACTTTGTGCAAATAATGGTCAAAATTTAAGAAAATTGACTGTTGTCTTGTTCGAAATTGCAGTTTTTGGAAGTATTTATATTTTTCTTTGTCTTTCATAAATAATTGAATATCTTCAGAAAAAACAAATTATTTAAAATGTGGTGCTATACTATTACTCTATCTAGTAACATTCCTTAAGAACCAATAATTCCTTAACATTTATCTAGTCATTCAAATTTTCCTATTTGTCTTGAATTATTCTTTTACAATTTATTTGAGTTAGGATCCATGTAAGGTCCTTCAGTACTTCTCTTTTCTGCTCTTCTCTTTCTGCTGGGATTGAACCCATGGCCTTCATAACTGAGCTCCATTCCCAGCTAGTTAGCCAGGCTGCCTTCCTGACCACCTGACCTCCCTCCCTCCCTCTCTCTAGTTCATCTGTATGTTCATCTGTCTGTCCTACCATCCGTCCGTCCACCTAGCTAGCTAGCTATCTGTCTCTGTCTTTATTTTAAAGCAAGGTCTCACCAAGTTGCAAAATTGATCAGGGTGGCCTTGAATTGTATGGAGTAGTAAGGAGACTTCTATATCTGTATGATAGATCAGTGGTTTTATTTTAGGGGCATTTATAAACTTTGAATAGGCTCATGAATGCTATGGATTTTCCCTCAGTGTATGTACACATGCAATAAATTTTGCTTACAATTTCATTGATTTACTGTGTTATTTTTCTTTTCCACCAGCCCTACTCCTTCTTTTCACCACCCCTCCCCCTACTGTCCTACCCAAAACCTATGGTGTTCAATGCCACGTATTGTGAGAATTTCTTGGTAATATTTGTAATGCTACTGTTGAATTAAATTTTTTGGTTTGGGTATAAAAGTGACTAGTATTAAATTTTGAACATTAAACTTCAAATGAAATTGACCATTTATTAGAGAGAAAAGAAAATCAGTATTTGTTTATTGTATTGAGATACAACAGAAGTAAGAATTTTGACTATCGTAAAGTTTACAGGAGATGGGGAACTTTGCCTGATGAACAGTGGAGCAAATTATTTAGGCAAATGAATGATATAAATGTTTAAAGGGGACAGAGATTCGATACATTAGATAGTCATAGGAGAGTGATGATTGGAAATTTAGATGTGGAAGAAAATAACTTCTTTACAAGAATACTTGAAAGGATAGTGTCCCAAGATTATAGCATTTTGAATGGTGAGCAGAAGTGATGCATAGCATACTGTTTGGCAAATTAATGTCATACTGGATTTATTAGAAATATGTTGCAGTTCTCAAGTACTCATGTCTATAAAAATGATGCGTGATGACCTACTGTAAATCTTTCGTAATGAAATGGTACTTCATTATTCTTTATTTGAAATAGATCTTAACCAAAAAATCTATTCTTTTACCTGTTCAGCCAGTTTATTTATTGGCATTTGACTATAGAAACATCATATGCATCCCCCCAAAATTTAAGATTTTGTGTCACTGAACATCAGAAAACATTTGCTGCAACTTTAGGTAAAGAAGAAAGAATTCTCTATAGTGTTCCTAAGCAGTGGCAATACTGTTAGAATAAACATATTGATGCATTATTCTCTGTACCAATGTTTCAGAATTGCTTATGGTATTTTAAAAATAATAGGTGCTTGGTTCACTATAGAACTGTGAACCAGAACTTCTGGGTTTTGATTTTGATACTTTATCATTTAAAAGCTTTACAGTTGTCCCTAATTAGGAATCTCCGCTCAAGACTATAAAACTCCTCTACTGGATTAGCAGTTTGTATCTTTTGGGTCTTGGCATATATTAAGTGCTTCATAAATTAAAAAAAAATTATTAGGACATGTTTGTGATACATAGTATGTATATTCAGCTTGAATGGGGAATACTTGATGACTGTATATGTTCTTACTGCCTGATAGACACTTCTTAAATTCCCTAAAAGTTGAAATACAGTAATTCAGTGTTTTGGCCATTGTTTGAACCGTCGAGATTGTCAGTCCACTTTTTATATGCTATTCTAAAAAATTTTAGCCTCTTTTTTTCAATTCAAGTTGGCCATAAGAATTAGAGGCAAATGGAGGCTATAAGAGAAACACTGGAACTATAATCTAGGTGAATGGCAAATCACGTGGTCTCTCTATCTTTTTCTCAGCTGTAATTTCTCATCTGTAAATTTTTCTCATCTGTAATGGGCATAATTCCTACCTTGAGGATTCTGAATAAAAACTTTTGTTTACCCATTTAGTGATAGTAATTGCTATTTCAGTGATTAATGTTTGCTTATTTTTTAAGTGATAAACTGTAAGTTTTTGTAAGTTTATGTCAGTGCTGATATTGGGCATAGTCAAACTACTTATAATAAGAGAGTAATTGTTTTCAGCTAGCACAGAAGATGGGATTTCCACCTAATATTGTGGATTCTGCGGCAGAAAACATGGTCAAGCTTTATAACCTTTTTCTGAAATATGATGCAACCATGGTAGAAATAAATCCAATGGTAGAAGATTCAGATGGAGCTGGTAAAGTATCTCCTTTTATCAGATATTGGTTATGCATTTGTGTATCATATGCTTCATTAAGAAGAGTGAATTCATAAGGGAAGTGTAGTGATTCCTGTGTGGAAGCTTAGTTTATCATGAATTAAATGTGAAAAGATATAGAAGGAGCCCACTGAAGCATTTTACACATAGACATGTAGGGATAAGAGCAGCATTGTCTAATATGGTAACCATGGGTCACATGTGGCTACTTAAATTAAAATTATATAAAAATCTAGAATTCAGTGCTTTAGTCACACTAGTCACATTTTAAGAGATTGCATTAAATGGTGGAACTAAATTAATTATTATGTTATTAATATGACTAACTTTAATTTTCTCAGTATTGTATATTAATTACTTCTATTGCTGTAATTTATCTGATTTGTTTCAAATCTCTTTAGATGATTAACCTTATTAAGCACTTGTAGTCTATTTTGCATAATACTTCTGATTACTTTTTATGAAAGCAATTTTTGGTTGGTCAATTATATGATAGTATAAAGCAAACCTACTGAATTCTTACTTTGAAACAGCAACCATATTCTGTTAAGGGAGTGTCTTCTACCTCATAATAACTTTTTCTGTGTATTGCTTTCTTAGTATGCATGTATATATGTTTAGAAGTAGTGTTTTTTTTTGATTATGGGCATTGTATATTTAGTATAGAAAATTTTCAAGGTGCTAAGAAATATAGATACAAGGGAAAAAGCAAACCTCCTATAATCCCAGTACCAGTACCCTTTTAATGTTTCACCTTTTAAGCTTAAAAGTGTATAATAGAATTTTCATGTTAAATATTTTTCAAAAGATAATTTTAAAAGACTTGCACTTTATATTATATGTCTTTGCAGGTCCGATTTTCTTTCATTAGATTGTTAGAAATAGGGTTTTGGGTGAAGGAGTAATACTATTTTTAATACATGTTTCCATGTTTAGAGTGGTAACATTTTGAGATACATTGTGTCAAGTAGTTTGCTCCCATCCATCCCCTTTCTTCCCCTCCCCTTTCCTCTTCTCTTCTCCCCTTGTATACCCCTGTCCTTCACATATAGAGTATCTGTCTTACTGTATAGTTTGCTTTCAAAAGTGTTATCTTGGATTTAATCTCCATCCAACTGATAATAAAGAAATGGTACTTGTTTTATTTTTTAGTTCTTTGATAACTAGTGATGTTGAGAGTTTTTCATTATTTATTGAACATGTTTTTCTTCTGCAAATTTTCTGTTGTACTTTGCCACTTTTATCTGTTTCTAGTGGCTGCTATAACAAATTACTGTAGAGTTAGGTGACCTGAAACAACAGAAATTTACTTTCTTAAAGTTTTAGAGGCCAGAAGTCCAGAGTCAGTAGCATATGAATTCTAAGTGTAGTGGGGCTCTATTCATACAGGTGGTGCTAGCGAAGAATCCATCCCCTACTTCTGTTGGCATTCCTCAGCCTGTGCTAACCTCATTTTAATCTGACTGTGTGGATACCTTATCTCTTTCCCTTCTGTTTGTATCCAGTCTCCCTCTGCTTGCCTGCCTGCCTGCCTATCTCTGTTTTTGTTTGTTTCTTTCTTTCCCCTCCCCCCAGTACTGGAGGTTAAACCTAGAGCTTCTATACTGAGCTACATCTCCAACTCTTTTATTGATTGATTGATTCAGGGTCTTGTTAAGTTGCGCAGGCTGGGCTTGACTTCGTGATCTGTAGGCCTCAGCCTCCCAGAATTCTGGGACTGTACTACCTCTCTCTTATAGGGACACTTGTGATGTAGTTTAGGACCAGATAGTCAGGCATAGTTTCTTCATCTCAGAATCCTTGATCACATCTGCAGAAATTTTACCTTAAAAAGTAACATCCACAGAATCTGTGGTTTAAGATCTGTTAACTTTGGTGGTCATTATTTAGCTCACTGTGGTATACCAGAAGAGGATGGGTAGTTTTCTTATTAATTTGATGGAATCTTTCTGTAATTTTAAATTTAATTTATTTAAATGATTCAGAAATTAAAACTTTGTAATAAAGTAGTTCTTCCATCATTTCTTTATTCTGAAGCTTTGTTTTCTCTCCATCCTCATTTAGTTTTACTCTTTCAGTCCTTAGGTTTTGGTTTCATGTATGCTTTAGAAAAAAATTAAAAATACTAGAAAGTGTTTATTTTGTAAGTGAAACAAATTAGAAAATATGTTCGTAATTTCCTCCTGACAGAAAAGACTGCAAACTATATATATTTTGCATCTTGTTTTATTCACCTAAGAATATGTCCTGGTGATTTCTCCATATGTTATATGGGCTTATTATATATTAAGGGCTTATTATATATTAAGGATATTAATTTTCTTGTCTGGCATTTGACATGAATACTTTTCTGAATTTATCCTTTGTTTAATTTTGTTCGATTTTTTGGGGAACATATTAAAACTTTGCATGTAGTGAAATCTCATTTTGACTTTTATTACTTTTATGCTTGGAGGTTTCTTTCTGTCTCAAGATTAGTAACTATTCATCTGCAGTGTATTCTATTTTTTATTGTTTCATAATTTTTACTTTTAAATCTTTAATCAATCAAGATTTTATTTTGGCTTCTTTTTACCCCCAAAATTGTGTTCTTCTATT